TGAAAGGTAATTGAACTGAGTATGCAGTGTTGTGGAAATATTCTTTCGGATTCATTTAGGACATATAAATCTTTATAAAGATCTGTAAATCCTGAGGTTGAGCGCAAATTCGACGTTAAAAACTCCTACTCTAGGGGTGGATACGTTTTCAGAAGTAGTTTGTTTTAATTATTAAATAACGACAACGAAAAATAAAGTAAAACTTATACAGTAATCTAATTAAATGTTTAGGAACATATTTCTCAAAAGAAATTTGTCAATAAATCAATGCTAAAATCAATTATTTCGTTTTCATTATTATATTGAATTTCTTATTTTCTTTGAATTTATTCGCAAATTTCTTCAAATTCTTCAAATGTCGTCTTTTCAATAAGAGTTCTAGAAAATCTGCGAAAATCTTTGTGAATGATGAGAAACGAAAATAATGAGAAAATAGAAATTAATAATTGAACAAGATTACTTATTTTCTATGATAAGATTAATTTTTATTTTCTCAACATGTTCCTATACATGACGTCTGTAGTTTATTGTAGACTTTTTTTACATTTTATGTCGTCGTTATGTAATAATTTAAAAAAATTTACAAATCTTTAAAAAGTTTAATAAGTCTCAAATGAGTCCAAAAGAAGTTTTCCAAAATAAAGCATACTCTGTTCAACTACCTTACATAGCCAGTCACTCCCTTTAAAAGTGATAAATACAGTAAAGCTCTTTCAGAAAACCAACTAACCAAGAAAGCTAGCTGTAATGATCAAACTAGAAAGCCAAGACGCAATGAAATCTAAAGAAAAAAACATCAAGCCCAGAAAACCCAGGAGCTTTTATCAGAAAACCCAATTAGGAAAGAAGAAGTCATCACTTTGTGTTGTTAATCTCAGGTTCAAGCATCATCTCGATATTCACAATAAAAAACTTCCAACCTTAGATAATTTTAAATTTTTTCCCATATCTTTTGAACGTAAAATGTACATATATATCCTCGGTGTAAATAGGGCCACACTTTAATTTCCAACAAAAACTCTAAAATTCCAATCAAAAAAGAACGTTAACAATTCAATTGGTATCAATTCAACAATAGGCAATCAGAAAAAAATTCTATTTTTTCTCCGTATCCTAGATACCGTACAATAAGGGAGTAAATTGTAAAACCACTGAATTTCACAGAGTTTGATTTTCCCAGTCAATTATTCTCCTTTATTCAACCCTTCCGACCATGCAATTATTTTCAACAAGTAATGAGGTTTATATTTTTCAGGTTGAAGTCAAACTGTGTCTTGGAGTTTATGTGCTAAGCAAAATCTTCACAAAGAACGAAACTTTACAGAGAAATTCTGTCTTTTCCCTCGAATTTTAAAGCATTGATTGCCCCCCCCCCTTTTATTCTTTCTTGTTTAAAGCGACTGTATACGCAAGTTCTATTCCAAGAGTAGCATGTCCGATTTACAACGGTACCTCTAAAAGAAGAGAAGCAGGAACCCCGAAATCCTAGATGATGAGGGAGGGATGAAGAGAATCAGGAACTCTGAAATCCTAGATGATGAGGGAGGGATGAAGAAATACAGATAGTTGTATATAGAGACATACAGATAGATGTATATAGACATAAAGATAAATGTATATAGAGACATACAGATAGATGTATATGGACATAAAGATAGATGTATATAGAGACATACAGATAGATGTATATAGAGACATACTGATAGATGTATATAGAGACATAAAGATAGATGTATATAGAGACATACAGATAGATGTATATGGACATAAAGATAGATGTATATAGAGACGATAGATGTATATAGAGACATACTGATAGATGTATATAGAGACATAAAGATAGATGTATATAGAGACATACAGATAGATGTATATAGAGACATACAGATAGATGTGACATACAGAAAGATGTATATAGAGACATACAGATAGTTGTATATAAAGACATACAGATAGTTGTATATAGAGACATACAGATAGATGTAATTACAGACATAAAAACTGAAAAAAACATACCTATAACAGAAAGATGGACACACAGATAGATAAACAGAAAAACATAAAAATAGATGTACACACTAACATACAGATAGATGACCTCAAAGACAGACAGATGGATGAACCCCAGGACATAGATAGGACATAGGATAGATATTTACATACAAACATACAGATAGATAGATGAACTCCCAGATATGCAGATGGATGTACATACAGACATACAGATAAATGTACATACATGTAAACAGATAAATGAACTCACAGATGGATTGACACTAAGACATACAGATAGATATGTATATACATACAAACATACAGATAGATAGATGAACCCAAAGACATATAGATAGTGTTGTACATGACAAAAATACAGATAATAGATGAGCCCCAAGACAGACAGATAGTTCTGTACGTACAAACATACAGATAGTTCTGTACGTACAAACATACAGATAGTTCTGTACGTACAAACATACAGATTTTATATACCTTGTTAGAGTTACCTCTAAAGCAGAGGTTAATAACCTCCTGTTTAATATAAAGTAAGTGAACGTATGACTTGTGAAGATAGAGAAAGGATTGCGTTGTTTGTTTATTTAGCTTTATACAGGGAAACTGATCTGGGTTTAGAATTTATATATAAATAGAAATATTTTGTTAGGATTACTGATCAGTACCATTTGGTCTGAAGCATATACACTACACAGTTTACACATTTAAAATTATAAATACAATGTTCATCCATCTATATATGTAAAGTATTTTGTATGCCCGATCATAACTCATCAACCCCGATTTGCCTCAAGTTTTAATTAGGAAACTCGGTAGAACTACGGATTTGTTATTTGCAGCTTGGGTCGAAAATTCTAAATTGAGTGAATTATCTTCTTTCTTTAAAGTACAGTTTTCAGACTAAGCTGGGTTCCTAGGCTACTGTATTAGTAATTTCAAAATAACTATATACAACACTGTTATTTTGGTTCGCAGTGTTATAAAGTTTTGGGACAGAAATTTTTATGGCATGTCGTGCCAAAATAATAGTGTTATAGGTAATTTTATGAAACGTTTATGCACTTGTCTCAAATGGCTATCTGGGAACCAATCAAAACTTTATAGCACACGTGCTATAATATACAGCTAATTTAACTTAATAGCACACGTACTATAATGTACAGCTAAATTAACTTAATAGCACGTTTATTATGAAATTCACGATGAAATAAGGAAGAATGATAAAGTACACAATAGTTTCATAAACTTATATACCACAGAACTCAAATTTAAATTCTAATTAAATTAAAAATTTAAATTCTATTCTGTATAAATTTCATCCAATTTATTTGCGCTTTTTAATTCATCATCGCAGAGGTTTTTTTTAATTATAAATATATACCTTTTACCACATTGACAAACTGTTGAGACCGGACCGACTTTAAGATGTTGTTTTGCCTGGACTTTTACTTTGTGTAGCCCGAGATATGAAGATTTCAAAGCTGTGCAGGGGTTGTTCACTGCTTTATCCTGCCAGTCTCATAATATGAATATTTTAGCTTAAAACACTCCAAAACCAAGCCATAGAGAGTTAATCTAACATGATCATTATTAACGTATGAAATAATTATTTTAGAATAAATAAGTCTACATTTATCCTCGTGCTTTTCTCTTCTACTTTATTGAAACATTATATATCTGCCGTTTCCAAGTGTATATAAATTATATATATATATATATATATATATATATATGTGGTCCAACAATTGTATTTAACATTTTAGATTAAAATCTTTGTAATAAATGCGGAGGAACTTTCTATACAAATATTAAAATATTTTGAAACGAGGGATAGATGGGGAGAATGGTGGGAAAATATCATTCATACTATTTCGACCCGTCACCCATCCCCCCCCCCGGACTGACCTCTCGATCTCATTTCTCAAATTCAGGATAAATCTGAGAATATAATATAAATACCCCATTAAACAGACACGCAAAACTAGCGCTGGCCTTAAAGTCCGGAAGTCGTAACTTTTGTTGTGAATCTTAGGATCAAGTGCTCACATTGGATATCAAGATTAAGATAAACGATACTTCACACACAAATTTTGACCTCGGGATGTCTTAGTTTGGTTTTAATATGTCCTTCTAATAGGAGCAAACCTGAGTTTTTAAGGTTTCTCTGGGATATCGTTGTTTTCAGATTGGTTGCGCACTTGCTGAATATTAACTGTTTAAAATCCTATACCAAATCTCACATATATGAGTTTTGTCACAATTTTGACACATTATAATATATAGTCCTTGAATTGGGACTACAATGGACTACACAGGGGACATGTAGTAGACTTAATATAGAATAACAGCATTTTTAAGGCCGGGGGGAGCAAACATTTTTTCGCGCTTCTCGCTAAAACTTGCCCCCCCCCCCCACTGGCTAAAATCCTGTGTACGCACCTGTTATCAATGATCTCTGTAGCGGGTTTTAAGAAAAGCAGAGATGTTTAAAATAGAAATTACAAATGGTTTTCTGTAATAACGTAAGCAACCCCTTTTATCTAATATTTAACTGGTCCAGCCATTTCTCAGATTAATTTTGACTTTCTGATACCTTTAAGTATTGTCTAAACTCCTAATATCATTGTTTACTAAATTGAGTGGGTAAATAGCAATCAGGAAAGCTTAGAACTGAATAAAAACATTTCAGTCAATTTCTGTAATTCATTGACTATCTAAATTAAAAAGGAACCCACATAACTTTGTTTACAAAAAAATTGTACTGAAATTTCTGGGCAATGTGGCGCTGAGCAGCTCTGTGCGACTAACAATTTCTAATCTTTGATACCTGACAGTGTAAACCTAATATTTCAAACTGAGACTATTTGATCAAACAGATATCAAAGGTCTACAATGGGTAGAAAAGTTATAAAATCAGAGTTTGAGGCAAAAACTTTACTACAAAACGATAGTTTTTAGTCAAATATCTTTTGCAAAAACTGCAGTAATAAATGCTCATACTTTATTAAACAGTTATAGAAAACAATATCTCAGTGTCCATATGTGATACAAATTAATAATAACATCTACAGCTTGATATAAACAACTCAGCAGTTGATTTTTCTCCCTTCATCATCAAAGCACCAAGGGTAATTCAACTTTCCAAGATCAAATGGCTTGGAATCTCTCTTCCTCCTTGCTGCTGGAAGGCTGGCAGCAGGACATCCTTCACATGATATTTCACCCATACTAGAATCAAAGGCGAATAATAGATCTTTAATCTTGCCAAAGGGTCCTTTGAAGGTAAAAGCTGTTCCGGTTTGTCTAAGTAATCCAGTTACAGGTTTCTCATAAACATGGAATGGAGGGCTAATGGCTTCAATGGTTGCGTTGTTGTAGTCAGAAGAATAACATGAGGTTTGAATTTGGTAGTTCATACCGGGAACATCAATACTCAAATCATCAAAGACAACTTCTCTAACACCTAGATTAAGAGAATGGTAGATAGTAAATAGATATTAAATTTAATAAATTTTACATTAAAATAATAAAAATAAATAAAAAATAAATAAAATAGATTTTAAATTTAATATAAAGTAAAAAACAAAGTATCAACATACCTGCAGAAACTGTTATATTCAGAGTTCCATTGAGAGTTCCAGTGTTTTCTCCAGGCATAAGAGCAGCAGAACACTCCCAATCAAAATTGTTCAGTACTGATTCCTCGGCCATCATATCTAAGGCCTCATCCCAAATATCAGGGACTATGCTGAAGGATGTGTTTTGGCCAATTAGGTCCATGTCATAAGTAAATTTCATGCCTAAAGGCCTACCTCTCACATTTACAGGAAGAGAAACAATAGGAAACACCGTATGTACTGGATATGTAATCTCAAATTTAAGGATGTAACCGCTTCCAGCGGAGTCTATCCGAAGGTTATCAAAAGTTGCAACTCCATTTTCAAAAGGTGCATTTGTGTCTCCAACTAAGCTTCCACCCGGGCCAGAAAGAATTGACACTGTACATATCCAAGGATCTTCAGTAGTGCCTAGAGTTCCAACCATTTTTCCACCAGCTGTAGCCACATAAACAGAAAATGAAGGAGATAATACATCCATTTCATTCACATCTTCAGGTTCTCTTGACAGTTGTAGACTATCAGGAATATCAAAATCAGTTTCTTTATAAGTGTTTTCCAGTAAAGTGGCATTAGCGAGAGATTGTTCCGACCAGGTTAGAGGCAAAACTTGAGCTCTCTCTTCAGGACTGGTGTACTCTGGGGGTGGTAGAGGAGGAGCAATTGGCTTTTTCATGGACAAAGAAGTTAGGTTCAAATTTAATGCATTCCCAAGTGTTCCTGCCTGGAAATTATTAGCCAATGTAGATTCTATTTTTTGGAGGTCCTCAAATGACAGATGATTAGGTGGAGATATCCAGGGGGTTGTTGAGGTTGTTGTTGATGTTGTAGAATAAAGAGGGTTTTCAGTAAAAGATCCTTCTGGGGTGACATAAGTATACTCCTCAGGCATGAAGTTTACAAGAACATCAGAAGGTGGAGGAGCAATCTCAAATTCAACAGAAGTGATTGTTTCTCCCGCACTTCTTTTTTTACCAACACTTCCCTCTCGAACAATATTAGTAATTCTTATATTTGATGCATCAATTCCAAGTAACCCAGCAATGTTTGCGATAACATTCTCTTCAAAGAAGTTTTCAATTGGTACAGTCATTCCTAATTTGAGAACAACAATAGGTTGTGTTTTGATGTCAATGGTTGAAGGACCTTTAACATTAACATATAAATGGCCACTTGTTGGATCAAAATAATTGGCTCCGTTGGTTTCAGTTAATGCCGGAATGAATGAGTCTGAGGGTGGCAATAGGGAATATCTATCTTTAGAATTATCAATGTTGTTAGGCATAACAAACCTATCATTTACATATATATCTAACCTTTGCTGAACAGGGAAATATATTTTTGCAAGTACTGCTTCACCTCCATCATTGTGAAGCAAGTGAAGTCTCATGTTTTGAGGTGGTGTGCTGGAAAACATTATTTCATACTCAATACCAGTTGCCACCATAGTAAACATGGTGGAGAGCCTTTCAGCACAGGTATAACCATGGCAACAAGAAAAATCTTGTGGACCATTAACCAAGTCTATAAATCCATTGGAACCTGGATTTGCTAGAACTGCAACAGGAGAAAGTCTTCTAATTTTGGTATCCCTATCCATTGACTCAATGATCATAATTCTGTGATTTATTCCCTGGCATTTGAAAGCCCTCCAATTTTCATTGTATACACAAGATTCATCTCGGTAAATTCCTGTATTTGGCATCTTGTCAGCATACTTAATCTTATTCCCATTTAGTGTTGTGATCATTGGTTTAGGAACTCTGTAGTAGCCTAATCCTCTTGCTGGATTGCCATCCCATTCAAATCCTGAATCTGGTATAATAGTGCCAGGGTTTAAATCTCCAGCAACAGAGCCATCATTGTCAAATATCAATGCTTTCTTCAGGCCATCACAATCAAAATCTGTACAATCTGCTGGGTTTATTTTGCTTTTGTTTGGCTCATCAATATAGATCTTAAGAGCATTTTCAACAGCTACATACTTAATTTCAGAAGCATTTATTGGCCAATTCATGTCATCCTCATTAAAGTTTGTGCGGAAAACAATATCATTTGCTCCACAATTAATTCCAAAATTGGCAAAAGTGACATTTCTTAGGTTCATTATACCTCTCAAGGCTGGGTTAGATCCTTCTGCACTTTTAGTAGGTTGATGCCATGGTAGATCCTTTTTCCCATATTTAGACTGAAATATTGGCCACAGCAATCCAGTATGATGTGCTTTCCAATCACTTACCTTAATACCCCTTCCGACCCATTTCCTTTTCTTTTCCATAGGGGCTAAGAATGCATCTGGAAGTGCTTCCTCTGCACAATCATAACTATCAGAAACAGCAACAATATGCGAGTTTTCAAGTGTAAAATATTTATCTTCTGAGAGATGAGAATCTGCAGAAGGACCAAAAATGTAGGGAAGTACACCAACTCCATTGTCCACAACAATCATATCAGAGAGCTGAACACTATTTTCTGATCTAGATTGAATTCCATAATCATAATTTTTCCAGGTGAGTATGTTGCTTAGTTTAACACATCCAGACACAGGTCTGTTTGTTCCATAAGTGTCCAGGTGAACTCCATGCATGGTAGAGTGAATTTCATTACCTAAAATGGTAAAATCATTTTCACAGGGAGATCCAATGGTATAGAGCCCTCCTTGGGCACAGCCAGCTACTATGTTGTTAATGAGCATGGTGTTGGTAGCTCTTCTATTGTTTATGCAGCCAAAAAACATAGTGTTGAATACTTGCATTTTAATTCTGGCCACAGCTTCTCCCATGGTAACAAGGTTTCCAATAATTCTGTTTCCAATCCCTTCATCTAAGATTCCATCATTAAGGAATCGATATATTACATTATCTTCAACAGGAATATTGTTTGAGCCAAAAATTCCAATGGCAGAATTGTAAATATGATTAAATGAGCATTTTTTAACATAACTTTCCATTGCCTTTTGTGCCCCATTTGCATCAATTGAGTCTCCAGTGTCCAAATATGCAAGTGCATATCTGGGATCATAGTTATCAAACCATCCTTCTTGTCCAGCAATAGAAAATTCTACATTAGAGAATCGTGCAAAACCTGTGTACACTATATCATCCTGCTCAAATGAACCAACTAGAACTCTTGCACCAAATTCTTCCTCTGCAATTTCAGGATAATCATTACCAACTATTCTAACATTTTTAGTTAGGAGTCCAACTTCTCCACTCATTTTTATTTCTGTTCCATCTGCTAAAGTAGTGACTTTACTAGTATGCCTAAATTCCATTGGTTCATCTACCGTAATTGTGGTTCCAGTAATTGCTGTAATTTTACGCCTTTCTGTTTCCTTTAACTCATATGAGGTTGTGCTTATGACAATCTCGCTTCCAACTGTCCATGAAACTGGTTGTACCAGCTCAATTGTAGTATCTCCAACATTAATAGTCGATGCTATTTTCATAAAGCTGACCCCTGTGTCTAACCCATGCATATCAAGAAAACCAAAAACTCCAAGTGCTTTAGACCCCAGATTTGGTCCATTTGGTAAAGTCATATCCTCAGTAAAATGATTACCAACAAGAATTAATTCAAACTTGTTAACATGAGGTATATCTTGTGTTCCACACTCAAACTTTCCTCCTTGGACAAGAATAATTTCTACTTCCAGTGTATGATCAGTATTATCCATTATTTCAAGACCACCATAAAGATATATTCTTTTGAGTGGAGGGGGATCTATATCCATTACCATCCATACTCCTGGAGGTATTATGACAGTATCCCCCTCAGTTGGAAGTTGGGCATCAAAGCTTTGCCAAGCTGATTCATTTGACCACTTATGAAAATCAAGAGGTCTTCCAGGAGGAAGGGTTGGAGGAGGAGGGGGTATGCAGTTTTCATATTGACATTTATAAACTGTAAAAGCTCCTTTAGCCCAAAACTCCTGTGGGGTAGTTCCTTCAACAGCTTCTCTTTTCTTTTTAGACCAACCTGTGGGACCTTTGTCAGACAGTATGTAAACCATCTTAGGGATGCCATCAGCTGTCTCATTATTGAAGTACCAATCCCCACTTTCATTATTATCATAAGAGGGGTATTCTGTAAGGGCAGCTGAAGAATTTACCAAAGCACTTTCTCCCTCAACTATGGAGAATCTGTCAGGTGTTTGATAAAACTCATGGCCAACTAAAACAAAATTTCCGCCATCAGGATACATTCCTCCAACAGACACTGTATATGATATATTGGTTACATGTTCACTTGAATCAAATATCAGCCAATTAACTCCTTCTTCAGACATTAATGCATGCCAACCTGAAAGCATTTTACCCCAATTTCTACTAGAATTGCCATTTTCAGTTTTAAATGTCACTGGATTATACTTGAGAGAAGAGGGAGAATTTTCCCCTACAATTTTTACCCTGTGAAACTTAACAGATCCGGGACAAACTGATACTGCATGACCTCCAAGATTGACAGATCCAAACTCATCAGTAGAGTCAGGAACACATGAGGATGGATTTGTTGAGCTTTTCCCAACAACTTGAGAATCTGCTGTCCCTGTAAGTGAACCATCTACATCATAAAACCAGGCTCCTTGATCTTGTCCATCTTCCAAATATATTTTGTTTGGGGAATTAATGAATTCAACATTTTCAATTCTTACAGCATTTACAGCTGCTCCAGGTTCAAAGAGTCTTATATTCATAGCATAACAATCTCGATCAAAGTTAAAGAATTTAACATCCTTGATAGTATAGCCATCATCAGTGATTCTTATTCCTCCAGGTGTACATGAATCTAACTTTCCTTCTGTGAGGGCAGAAATTTCAGAATGACCAACAATTATAGAATTAAAAATACCGGGTCCATCATTTCCATAAGGCCCTGTTGCAGTAAATATTTCAAAACCTGCAAAGTCATGGTCCATGTGAGTTTGATTTTCAAGCCTAATATTAGCACCACTGACAATTTCAAATCCTCTCTTGTTATTCCATGTTGTGAATGAACCAATGGTAGTGGAGATTCGCTCTCCCATACAATATCCTGAAGAGATATCCCCTGAGTGTGGATCATAATTAACATGATTGCTTTGACCCATAATCCAGAAGCCATACCAACCCATTGAGTGAGCAGTGTTGTTATGAAACTCATCAAAAGGAACTTTGAAGGGACAAAAATTTCTGGTGAAGGATGGACCATCAGGAACTCTAGCAGGTCGCAGCCAAAAGCAGTGGTGAGTACCTCCTGCACATGAATTATGCCTAAATTTGTTGTTAGGATTTACAATCCAAAAGCTAGCTGGATTGATGTCAGGATTTAAAAGACTATTAGACATTCTTGTGAACACTGCCAAGTTATACTGTAAGGTGTTGTGCTGTTCTACTCCATCTTCAAGGAAAAATGTTAATCCCTTGATATTATATGCAACATTATGTTCAACTAATAGATTTGACACATCATGTAAAGTACATGCCCTATTATTTGAATGATGAATGGCGTTTCCTCTAATGTAGCTTCCACTCATATTTCCAGGAAGATGGAAATGAATTGGATATCTACCTACTCTAAAAGCTTGACCAACATTGGTAAATTCAGTATATTCAATCCTTGCTTCAACTAACCCTTGATCTTTATATTTGGGACTGAGAATGATAATTGCACCCATTTCATCATGACCCAACTCTTCTCCAAATTTCCCAGAAAAGCATGTTTGCAATGAGTCGGAAAAGGCTGCACCAGAATTAAACTCCTGTTCACAGGCTGGCAGGACTTCCACAAACTCATCATTCATAGAACCTTGCACTAATATATTCCTACTGAGTAAACCAACTTCTCCTCTAGATTCCACTTCTCTATCTCCAAATGTTTGGACAATTGAGATGTGATTATATAACAATGGTTCAGTTAGAGAAACTGTATATCCATCAGCAGACACAGATTCAATTACTCTTTCTTCATTTTCTTTCATACTATTTCTGTCAGATGTAGTGGCAATGACAATATGATCTCCAGATTTCCATGTTACTGGTTGTTTTAGAACAAACTCATTACTTCCAGCAGATACAGTCTCTGCCAAATGAGTCCATGTTACAGGCACATATTCTCCATGAAGATCCAAAGTTCCATTTCTCACTCCAATAACCTAAATAAAATTTAAAGTAAGAAAAGTTAAATTATGTTAAAAAAAGGTTATGTAAAAATACCTTGCATCCAAACACAGGCAATTCTGTACATCTGACATTTCCGTGCATGGTAATTGTTGCCTTAGATTCATATGGTTCTTCCTCTGTACCAATTTGAAGTTTTCCTCCTTCAACTATAAGAATGTACTCAGTCTGCAGTTCAATGTCTGGATTCTCTTTATCAAATATTAAAGTACCACCCTTAATCAACAGAAATTTAAGAATTGGAGTTGATTCATCTAGTAAAATGGTTTGACCATTGGTAATGACAATGTATTCTCCTTTCATTGGTGTACCAGTGCCTCCCCATGTCCAAATTGAAGACCACCGATCTATATAAAAGAAAATGGCATTTTCAATATTTTCATAATTAGCATAGCCCTGTGATGGAACCTCTACTATTACAGGTGCTTCAATTGCTCCATTGTGGAAGTTAGTGTAACAAGAGATTTCAGTGCTAGACTCAGATTCAATATCGCAAATACTTCCATCGATATGAACTGTATTGCCAGTTGAAGAAAATCCTGCTCCGCTGATTGTAATCCTTGTACCCCCTCCAGTTCCTCCTCTTGCTGGGGTAATAGAAGTTACAATGGGTGTAAGATCTTTATCATACGTAAAAGATGAAGAAGCTGTTACTGACCCAGATGATTGATTTACTTGAACATCACATATTTCAGTAGAGCCACTGCTTGTGTTTTCTGGTGATAAGCATTGTATTTCAGTTGTTGAAATTGACTTTATTATGCACACATTACCACATACAGTCACTTTGGGAATTACCAAATCATCAAAGCCAACTCCAACAAGTATCAGAACCGATCCACCTCCAAAGCTACCAGAGACAGGATTTACACTGTCAAGAGTGAGAACAGAAGTAAAAAGAATATTAAAGTTTGAAAGTCCAAGATCTACATTTCTAACCATGATGTTGTACTGTCCACCTGAAAGTCCAACAAGGTCACAAGATATGGCTGAATCAGTGTTTGAAGTGATACTGCATACCTCATTGCCTACAAGTACAACTGAATTAGAACCAAAATTGCTTCCTTCAATTGTCAAACTCACAGGACCAGATGCAGATTCCGGAGTTATATTGGTTACTTCTGGTGACATAGCTAAAGCATATGTGTATTGTCCAGATGCAGGCAAGCTACATGATTCTATATGAACATCAGTGATACCCTCAGCTCCTGGGGGTGTAATGCATTCAACAGTTCCAGGTGTAACATTTACAACAACACATTTCTCTCCACCCATTAAGACCTTAGTTAATCCTTCATTTGTGCAGAAACCACTTCCAGATATTATTATTGTTTGGCCACCATGAACAGAACCAGAATTAGGTTGCACTTCATTTACTACCATACTACTCAATAGTGAGCTAAGAGAACTAATAGCATTTCCTTGACCTTCCACAAATACAATGACATCATAGCTTCCAGCTGGCAGAGCAGGAACTGAAAATGTCACTGATGAAGATGTTGATGATGTAATTTCTACTTCATAAGATTGACTTCCTAGAGACATTTCAAGCAATTCTTCCTCTGTAGATCTCTTAACAACTATATGGTTATTTTGATTTTCCAAGAAATGCAAACATTTAGAAACATCAGACATGCAAACTGCATTTAAGATTTTGGAATCATCGTAATCAGCTAGATATTGCAATTCTATTACTTCTTCTGCAGATCTTCTCCTCCTTTCAGATGGATTAGATGACATGCCCTCAGTTAATGTCTCATGATCACAATTTCCATCAGCACATTTCCAATTTATGGGCTCTTTAGAAATTATTGACCAAAAGCTAATAGTAGATTCTCCCAAATGTAATCCGTCAAAGCCTTCAATTTCTCTTTTCTTCAATGGACTTCTCCTCTTTATTCTGAGATCATCTGTTTTTCTTAAGTAGACTTTGACCTGGCCGTTGAAGTTGCTTCCTGTTATTTGAACTACGTCATTTACAACTACTGTTGAGGAATCCATTGACAAAGCTGATGATGTTAAAGAGTCTTTAAATTCATAGCTAATCTGCTCAGGAATTATGGGGCTAAAGGAATTATAGCCTAAAGCTATAGAGACTTGAACTGTCTCTGAGGTTTTTGAGCCTTTAAAGGCAGAAAAATCTGGAACAACACAGCTAATGTTGTTAAATGTTACTTCAACAACTGCACAACCCATTGAGTAAGGATATTCCCCAAAAGTAACAAATACTGTATCTTGCCCTCCTTCTGGAATAAGTCCTGATCCAGAGAGTATAAGAATATTACCCCCAGCCCAACTTCCAGCAACTGTGTTTACACTATCAATTCTGGGAACAAGAACTATATCAGAGCCTTGCCCATTTGCAGTTTCAAAAACAGCATTTCCCAAGTTCAGGATAGATAACTGAATTTCATGTTTTTCAAGGGAAGTTAACTGTGAATCAGAACCATCTATAGTACAAACTATTTCAGATTCAGTAGCAGAATTAACTGAACATTTGCTGCTTCCTAATTTCACATTGTTTTGACAAAGATTTGAGGAAAATCCAGAGCCAGATAATGTTAATGTAGATCCTGAATATGCATTACTTCCTGTTATATTGATACTGCTCTCTGAAATTTGTATTTCATTAAGTCTTGGTGTAAGACATGAAGCAGCTCTGAAAATGTATTCACTCACAGAGTTGGGTGTTGAAGAGCAAGCTAAGTCATTGCTAACTGAACAATCTGGAAACACCACAGGTACTTCATTTATTGAAACATCATGCATGGCTTTAATTTCATTTATTGAAACTGATAAAGGTGCATCAATGTCCTCTGTGATGTTTACTACTCTAATAATACCTTTCATAAACAGGCTGCCTTGAAATACTGGTTCAGAAGAATAATAATATACTCCTGTGTTCAAAAACTTTTTAGTAAATCTTCCTTTTCCACTTTTCATGCTTTTAAATCCTAAACCATTATACAAATCTGAAGCCTCATTATCAGTTTGATGAACAGATATTTGGGTTTCATCTGAAGCAACTTGTAAATTCCAAACCCATTCTATTGTGTCTCCTGGATTGATGGTTACGTCTGTTTCTGACCATTTATAACCAGGGCCATATGTAGGATGACGCCCTGAATTTACAATTTGTTTAACTTTGCTTTTCTTGACTGTCAGACATTCAATTTCAGAATCACTGCATTTTCTGATGTTACAGTCAAAAATATTTCCAAATAAAACACTAAGACTTGAGCAGTCACCAAATCCTGCACCTTGTAAGTTGATAAGTGTACCTCCCATCAGAGAGCCTGATGTTGGAGACATTTGGGTTACTTCAAAAATATATCTTAATTCATCAACATTTTTAACATCTGCATACCCATTTCCAGGTACAGAAACATGAACTGGATAAGTTCCATTTCCATTTCCAGGTAGAATGCAAATGATTTTAGATGCTTTCCAGGAAGATATTGAACACTCATTATCACCGATTGTTACAGTTCCCCAAGCAGCTCCAAAAGCTGACCCTTCAATTATAAGTTCTTCTCCTCCAATAGGGGTTGAGACAGACTTAGATAGGTAAGATACTACAGGAGTTAAGGATTGATCATAGGTATAAGATCCTCCAGAAACAGTGTTTCCATTAAAATTAATGGTAATATCTGAAACTGATCTCTTTTTCCTACTTCCAATACTCACAGGAGATGTTATACACTTAAAACTGCTGAATGAGGAATCTGTAATAAAACACTTATTACCATCAATTGATACACTTCCACCTGACCAGTCTTCTAAGGATCCAGGAAAACCAGATCCCAGAACAGTTATAGTAGTTCCACCTCCAAGGCTTCCCTGAGACGGAGAATTGCTGTAAATCTCAATGGGAAGGGTATATGTCAAAGGTCCTCCAGTTGCAAGACCAGCATTGGCCACTACAACAGTTATTTGATAATCTCCAGCAGGCCCAGGTGATAGGGTGCATTCTATGGAAGATATTGTTGATGATATAGGAGTGCATTTAAGATCTCCAACTTGCACAATATTCTCAGAGGGAATTAAAGAAAATCCACTGCCAGAGATGGTCAAGATTATACTACCATTTGAAGTATCTTCAGAGACAGAAGATACAGAAGGAGTCATAGATGCATCATATGCATATGAACAATCAGGTGCAGAGCAGGCAGATAAAAAGCCATTAACAAAAACATTCACACTAATAGTTGAAGATATTTTTCTGAAAAAATCTCCACCAGGTGCAGAAATCATCATTCCACCATTCCATCTTGTGGACATTGTGAATGTATTAGAGTTTGAGCCATCATCATCAATTACAAGATTTGATGTGTCAATTTCAATTTGTTCTACATCTCCAGAAAGAGAGTTTTCAAAACTGATGTCAATGATTGTACTAAAGCACTTATTGTCTACAAAGGTGGTTTTGACTCCAATCATTCCAAATGCTTCGAGAGCAGCAGCCAATGAAGAATCAGTTGGATATGGAGGGAGGGAAATTGCCTGATTCTTGTAGGATAAATTAAAAGACCCTGTCATTTTCCTACTTCCTCTCACTTTTCTTGAAACAGTGATAGTGCCAGATCCCCAAGAAGATGATCTGAAGGTAGCAGACTCCCGCTGGCTTAAAAAGGTTAATTTTGCATTCCACGCCTCTTCTGCGCTCATTGAGGAGGTGGATAATCCAACTATTTCTGCATCTTTTACTCCTAATAAGCTAAAGTCTTCAGCTTGACTATTGCAGGTCCATGGAACTATTTCCAAGTCATACTCTGTATCTGATAATGGATTTACATTGACCTCCTTTACCATTACTAAGTCACTGCCAAGTGCTGGTTTGGTTCTTTCAATTTCTACCTTGGAAGAAGAGATTGTAATTTCATCTAAGTAGTATTTTCCAGTTACTGCACCCAGTCCTAATGTTATATCTTGAACTTCTATCTTAGAATTTGCTTTGGGTGTTAAAGTGGAAATGGTTGTGTTCTTTGCAGTTGCAAACATATCTATACACTGGTAAGACCACTCATTTGAAGGAGTCCAAAGGTTTGAAATAGTCATCCATGTGGATTTTTCATTCCCTAAATCATCTTCATAGACATACAAGATGTTTAAGGATCCAGAGTAAGAAGACCCCATTGCAGCGAAACATAGCCAGGGAGCTCTTCCTGCATTGATATTACTATCATCTTCATTGTAAGTGCTCATGATTCTGTTCTGATTTTCGAGTGCCTTTGCACCACAATAAGCTTGAACATTTTCTTGAACATATCCACCTTGACCTGGAAGCCATTTGCCAGGAACTTCAAAATTTTGCTTGTATTGACTGTTTTTATTTAGATATTCACAGCTGTATGTAAGCATGTCTGTGAAAATTCTAGAAAAATCGCCTGGCCTGCTTAGGTTTATTGGTTCTTTAGCATTCTTTCCTTCGTGTGTAAAGATAATATCTGTCCCTTCAGGAATGTTGTTGAAGACAACAAATTGGGTTTCAAATTTTCTGTTATAAATCATTTCTAAACGCTGACGTTCATCAGTAGCTTTAGTTGTTTGATATGAATGATACATGGTTTCAAACTCCCACAAGCCAACTGCAAGCATATTTTCAGCTGGAGAAGAACTTTTTTGAGTATGGACAGCTTCCATATAATAATGTTCTCCTCCAATAACTTCTATTACACCAGAGTGTGGTCTTCCATTGCGCATGCTAGTAACAGCTGCATTGTGTGAAATGATCTCTACCTTATTTTCAGGATTTTCATCTGTACTTAAATAGAGTGATGCAGAATCCGAAGCAGTAAGATAAAATGAAATATTTCCAGAATAAGGGGCAACAAAAAGTCCACTTAATTTAGCTGAAAACCCATTTGTTTCATTGAAAAATGGTCCAATTAAAGAACTGCCATCTAATGTCATGGAATGATAATCAGCTGCTGAAGAGTCTAGAGTTGAAACATCTCCTTCTGTTTCAGTCCAAATTTCGTAAAGCAATCCTCTTGTTCCAGCATTAGACTGAGTCAGGGTATCTTCCGCAGGGGTAGAACAGACTAATTCATTTTTGGATACATTTATTATATTGCAAGGTGTGTTACCTATCTGTACAATAGTATTCCCAGAATATGAATCAAAACTATTTCCTTTAATCTTGACATGTGTGCTGCCTGTGGTAGCTCCAACATTTGGAGTGACAGATGTAATTTCAGGCAATGTATGGTACATAAACAGCTGATTCTTAGAATTAACAGAGTAACCATCTCCGTTCTTGTCAACCAAGGATTTACCATATTGGCTGGACACAAAAATTGTTGCATTCATAGGACCAATATAAGATCCACCAGGAACACATGTCAAGGACCCTTCATTGCTTGTTGGAGAATCTAATGTCATGTTAAAGACATTTCCAAGTTCATCAGTAAGTACACATTCTCTAGAGCCCATCAAGATTGCCATGATGCTGATATCCCTTCTATCATTCACATCACCAAAGTTTACATTTCCATATTCTTTGGTAAAAACTCTCCCTACCAGAGACACTTGATCTCCTGGTTTACCATACTTAGGGAATACATCTCTTACAAGGGGTGTCAATCCGTTTACATACCTGACAGCCTTGCTATTTTCCACCTCAACACCATCAACCTTAAATATACTGAACTGTTCAGAAATTCATAAACGTAATAAACATTATCAGCTAATAGAATTCCCAATGAATATTGCAATCACATCTTTCATTTTTGAGTCTTTGCCTCAAAATAATATTTTTTAATCCATATAACTTAGCAAACTGATGTTGTAGACCTTTGATATTTCAAACTTAGATTATTCGATCTAACAGAATTCATAGTTTGAAATATCTAAGGTCTATGGCATTGGGATTAGAAAATCAGACTTTGTGGAAAAAAAGTCTCAATTGATGTAAAGCTTATATCCTATTAAGGTTGTTTGAAGTCTAATGTTTTTTTATGGAGATCTATATAATTTGTTCATTTTTGATGGTCTTTGGATTTAAATTATTACCAATATCTAAATCTTGATTTTTTGAAGATACAAAACAGGTTAATCCATGTTTTGGAAATCATAGAATTTAATCAGATGGTATTTAAAAATTCAAAGATAATCTCCTGAGTATGCAATATGCAATATATACATGAAACAAAGACAGTTCAAAAGTTGTCCCTAAGTTTTAAACTGAGGATACATGAAATCTAGCATTTAAAAAAATATACAGTTATGGAAATTTATTTATTTTCAATTGCATCTGAATTGAAATATTACAGACGTAAGTTTCAAATAGTTGTTGTTATTAAGGTACATTTAAAGGATGTGCAAGAAAAGCATCAACTTAATTCTGTAAACCGTTTAGTCCTATGATATATAGTTCCTATCTGGTGCAGGACAAATTCTTGTGGTGCTAGAAATTAAATTTTATATCAACGGTATAACAACCTTCTCAACAGTGTCCTATATGGGCATAAGTCACTGATAAAGACGTTAAGCCTCTAAGAAAATCTAAAAAATATATTTATATTGTCAAAGACAAATAAGTTATTGTACCTTCAAGATAAGATTGAACCAATCTGATCCTTTTAATCCAACCCTTGGGGGCAGATCGCAGGTTATCTTTGTAGTTGAGGAGTCCTGGAATTAATAATATTTACAGATTACTCAAAACAATTACAAACCTGCAGGGTCTGAGAAAAGTTTAAAGGGCAAAAATTCTACACTAATGAGAAGTAACCAGAAATAATTTTGAAAAGTTTATTCGAATTAAAGAATGTCAGTTTTTAAAGATTTTTTTTCTCTAGAATTTTAGTCAAAAATTTTCTATTTAGCTTATCTGTTTTTCTTGAAAACAAAGGTGTCACATTAAAATATCAATATTGCCCTCTCCTAAACATTTTTCTGGAGAAGTTGGAAGTTGAAGTGCCGTTCTTAATCTGTGAAAAACTTTGGAAATTGTTTGTATTTGTGACAAATATTTTCCCTCCCTTATAGCAGCAAAAGTTCTCTTCCTAAGATGATAAGACATTGAAAATATTTTTAAACCAAACCTGGGGATTCTCCAATAGGAAATTCCAGTTGATCGGAGTCTGACAGGATACAGAGACAAACTCATTGGCAAACCAGACCTAAACAATAATATTCAGGTTTACAAGCAGTTCTAAACAATAATTTTCAGGTTTACAAGTAGACCTAAATAATAATATTCAGGTTTACAAGCAGACCTAAACAATAATATTCAGGTTTACAAGCAGACCTAAACAATAATATTCAGGTTTGCAAGCAGACCTAAACAATAAAATTCAGGTTTACAAGAAGACCTAAACAATTATGTTCAGGTTTANACCTTGAACCAGACTTATAATATTCATGTTTACAAGTAGACCTTGAACCAGACCTATAGTATTCATGTTTACAAGTAGACCTTGAACCAAACCTATAGTATTCATGTTTACAAGTAGACCTTGAACCAGACTTATAATATTCATGTTTACAAGTAGACCTTGAACTACACCTGTAATATTCATGTTTACAAGTAGAACATGAACCAGACGCATAATATTCATGTTTACAAGTAGACCTTGAATCAGACCTATAATATTAAGGTTTACACGCAGACTTAAACAATAATATTCAGATTTACAAGTAGACCTAAATAATAATATTCAGGTTTACAAGCAGATCTAAATAATAAAATTCAGGTTTACAAGCAGACCTTAACAATAATATTCAGGTTTACAAGTAGACCTAAACAATAATATTCAGGTTTACAAGCAGATCTAAATAATAAAATTCAGGTTTACAAGCAGACCTAAACAATAATATTCAGGTTTACAAGCGGACCTAAACAATGATATTCAGGTTTACAAGCAAACCTAAATAATAAAATTCAAGATTACAAGCAGATCTAAATAATAAAATTCAGGTTTACAAGTAGACCTAAACAATGATATTCAGGTTTACAAGCAGACCTAAACAATGATATTCAGGTTTACAAGCAAATCTAAATAAAAATATTCAGGTTTACAAGCAGTTCTAAACAATAATATTCAGGTTTACAAGCAGTTCTAAACAATAATATTCAGGTTTACAAGCAGTTCTAAACAATAATATTCAGGTTTACAAGCAGTTCTAAACAATAATATTCAGGTTTACAAGCAGTTCTAAACAATAATATTCAGGTTTACAAGCAGTTCTAAACAATAATATTCAGGTTTACAAGCAGTTCTAAACAATAATATTCAGGTTTACAAGCAGTTCTAAACAATAATATTCAGGTTTACAAGCAGTTCTAAACAATAATATTCAGGTTTACAAGCAGTTCTAAACAATAATATTCAGGTTTACAAGCAGACCTAAACAATAATATTCAGGTTTACAAGCAGACCTAAACAATAATATTCAGGTTTACAAGCAGACCTAAACAATGATATTCAGGTTTACAAGCAAATCTAAATAAAAATATTCAGGTTTACAAGCAAATCTAAATAATAATATTCAGGTTTATATGTAGAACTTAAACCAGACCAAAAATATTTATGTTTACGAGCAGAAACTAGAACCAGAACTTTCTCTTCAATCGTAACTTCATATCAAATTAAAAACTATGACTTGACGCAATTATTCAGTTCTTATATCTAATTCTTAAAATCAAGATAAACCTATTCCTAACCTTGTTTCCTAGAACTGGATCGAACTGGTTGAAAACGTCCTCTGAGAAACCATCTCCAAGGATTGTTATTGTTCCCCCTCCATATCCAATATTAACTGGCTGTACGCTGGTCACTATAGGGTTTGGTCTTACTCCATCTAAACATATATTATGCAAATGCACGATTCTTGTAAACAAAATACTGCAGCGAATTAAATTTGAAAAAAGAAAGTTTAATTTTTTATTTTCATTAAGGATGGATTCTACGAGCCCTATCTAACAAATCCATAATAAATTTAAATAAAACATTCTTAATTAAAACATAAATTGTTTGATAAAGGATGGTTAAAGGATGAAGATTGGATGAAAAGGATATGTTTGGTGAAAGGATAAAGGTTGGATGAAAAGGATAAATATTGGATGAAAAGGATAAAGGTTGAATGAAAAGGATTTAGCTTGAATGAAGAGGTTAAAGATATGATGAAAAAAAAAAAGGTTGGATGAAAAGGATAAAGTTTGGATACAAAAGATAAAATTGGTTAGTTAAAGGATACAAGTTGGATGAAAAGGATAAAGATTGGATGAAAAGGATAAAGGTTGAATGAAAAGGATTTAGCTTGAATGAAAAGGTTAAAGATATGATGAAAAGAAAAAAGGTTGGATGAAAAGGATAAAGTTTGGATAAAAAAGATAAAATTGGTTGGTTAAAAGATACAAGTTGGATGAAAAGGATAAAGGTTGGATGAAAAGGAAAAAAGGTTAGATATAAAGGATAAGAGTTGGATGAAAAGGATACAAGTTGGATGAAAAGGATAAAGGCTGGTTTAAGGATAAAAGTTGGATGAAAAGGAAAAAGGTTGGATGAAAGGAATAAATCTTGGATGAAAAGGATAAAGGTTGGATGAAAAGAATAAAGGTTGGATGAAAAGAATAAAGGTTGTATGAAAAGGATAAAGGTTGGATGAAAAGAATAAAAGTTGGATGAAAAGGATAAAGGTTGGATGAGAAGGATAAAGGTTGGATGAAAAGAATAAATTTTGGATGAAAGGAATAAATCTTGGATGAAAAGAATAAAGGTTGGATGAAAAGAATAAAGGTTGGATGAAAAGGATAAAGGTTGGATGAAAAGAAAAAAGGTTGGATGAAAAGAATAAAGGTTGTATGAAAAGGATAAAGGTTGGATGAAAAGAATAAAAGTTGGATGAAAAGGATAAAGGTTGGACGAAAAGGCATAAAGCTTGAATGAAAAGGATAAAGGTTGGATGAAAAGAATAAAGTTTGGATGAAAGGAATAAATCTTGGATGAAAAGAATAAAGGTTGGATGAAAAGAATAAAAGTTGGATGAAAAGGATAAAGGTTGGATGAAAAGAATAAAGGTTAGATGAAAAAAATAAAGGTTGGATGAAAAGGATAAAGGTTGGATGAAAAGAATAAAGGTTGAATGAAAAGGATAATGATTAGATATAAAGGATAAGAGTTGGATGAAAAGAAAAAAGGTTGGATTAAAGGAATAAATCTTGGATGGAAAGGCTAAAGGTTGGATGAAAAGGATAAAGCTTTAATGAAAAGGATAAAGGTTAGATATAAGTGATAAGAGTTGGATGAAAAGGATAAAAGTTGGATGAAAAAGATAAAAGTTGGATAAAAAGGATAAAGGTTGGATGAAAAAAAAGGTTGGATGAAAAGGCTAAAGGTTGGATGAAAAGGATAAAGGTTGGATGAGAAGGATAAAGGTTGGATGAAAAGGATAAAGGTTGGATGAGAAGGATAAAGGTTGGATGAAAAGGATAAAGGTTGGATGAAAAGGATAGAGGTTGGATGAAAAGGATAAAAAGGATAAAGGTTGGATGAGAAGGATAAAGGTTGGATGACAAGGATAAAGGTTGGATGATGAAAAGGATAAAGGTTAAATGAAAAGAATAATGGTTGGATGAAAAGAATAAAGGTTGGATGAGAAGGATAAAGGTTGGATGAAAAGGATAAAGGTTGGATGAAAAGGATAAAGGTTGGATGAAAAGAATAGAGGTTGGATGAAAAGAAAAAAGGTTGGATGAAAAAGATAAAGGTTGGATGAAAAGGATAAAGGTTGGATGAAAAGTATAAAGGTTGGATGGAAAGGATAAAAAGGATAAAGGTTGGATGAGAAGGATAAAGGTTGGATGAAAAGGATAAAGGTTGGATGAAAAGAATAGAGGTTGGATGAAAAAAAGGTTGGATGAAAAGGATATAGGTTGGATGAAAAGGATAAAGGTTGGATGAAAAGAATAAAGGTTAAATGAAAAAAATAAAGGTTGGATGAAAAGAATTAAGGATGCATGATAAGGATAAGGGTTGGATGAAAAGGATAAAGGTTGGATGAAAAGGATAAAAATTGGAAAAAAGGATGAAGGTTGGATGAAAGGATAATAGAAAATAATAGAAGATGAAAGTTAAAATGAAAATAATAAAATAAAAGTTAAAATAAGAAAGATCGGAATTTAAATATTAAGTCTGACTTTTGATGAGAACTATAAAAATGTTGATAGAGTTCAACGACCGGATTATTAATTTAATTTTAAATTTTGTAATCAACGTTTCACAAAGTGTCCATTTCTATGTGTACATATATTAGCTAAAAAATTCCCTTTAAGTTTTACTTCAATAGTTAGCCATCTCCGTTGGACAATTGAAGAGATGATAGAGCGATAGTTGAAACTTGGATATATGTGATACATAGAATATAGATATATGATGGTTAAATTGGGGAAATATATACAGGGTGTCTCAAAAACGCTCTTTAGGGTATTTTGGCCCTTAATGTGGGTTGATTTTTGTATCTTTTGACAATTTCAAAATTTATGTAACAGGTTTGATGGTCGGACACCAACTATCAGTAGCAAATAATTGAAGAAAACATTAGGTTGTTTTTTGATTTATTTAGTTAGGTCCTAAATGAGAAAATAGCTTTAAAAGATCTAAAATATAAGGGGTTATATAGTTATACCAAAACCTAGGGAATTAAATTAATCAGAATATGCATAAGAGACTCAAGAGATAAATTGCAGTGGTTGATATGAACCTTTGTGTACAGAAAGATACTGGATACAAGAGCTATAATAGAGCTAAGAAATGCATCGTAAACATCGTGGGACATTTCGGATAAAATATTATTAAAGTTACTAATAGGACCATCAAAATTCATTTATATTAATATTTTAAATCTTTTATGCTTATTGATATCTTTTATTTGATAAAATATACATAATTGTAGGTTTTTCTTTTACTTTTCATATCATCTCGATATAAATTTTTAACTAAACCAAAATGAAGGCCTTTAAACTTTCTTTATTTTCTTATTTTTCGTGCTACAGACCTCTAATGGATGTGCATTATAGTTCCGTAGATTTCGAAAATGTCCAAAATTTTAAAACTTAAACCATGATGAGAGCCACAAAGAGAGTTTTTTCTGACAGCATGTATTAACATTGTAAAATGTGCATGACCATGCAAAATATTAATAATTTTGGATAAAGTGATTCAAATTTGATTTCTAAACCAAGGAAAAAAGCATTTTTGTATAGTTTACCTATGATGGCTAGGACCCAGAGAAAGCAGAGGAAATCCATCCTGACCGAATGAACAGGAAAGGATCTCTGATTTATCCTGCTCTCTCATCCATCCTTTATACCCCTCCAGAGTTCACACCTGTTATTCAGGATTCAATATTTACAAAATAAAAAAAATTATGTAATTTTTTTTGGGTGTTATGAAAGTATTTGAGGATATCTAGGGTTCTAATATTAATAAAGTACAGAGAGGATAATTCATATATGATAATGGTGGAGAAAACATCTAGGTTCATAAAACCATAGAGGAAGGAAGTTGTCAAGTTAGGGAGCATATCTAGGATTGAGATAGATTAATATCAAGGAATAAAAAAGTTTTAGAAGTGTCTTCTTTTAATAAATAGAAAAATATCTAGATTGAGGATATAGTCAAGTTTGGGAGAATATTTCTAGGTTGAGGATATAGTCAAGTTAGGGAGAATATCTAGGTTGAGGATATAGTCAAGTTAGGGAGAATATCTAGGTTGAGGATATAGTCAAGTTAGGGAGAATATCTAGGTTGAGGATATAGTCAAGTTAGGGAGAATATCTCTAGGTTAGAATATCTAGGTTGAGGAGAATATCTAGGTTGAGGATATAGTCAAGTTAGGGAGAATATCTCTAGGTTGAGGATGTAGTCAAGTTATTGAGAATATCTAGGTTGAGGATATAGTCAGGTTAGGGAGAATATCTCTAGGTTGAGGATATAGTAAAGTTAGGGAGAATATCTAAGACAAGGATAGAATATGATCAAGGAATGAAGTATTTAGGTGAAGTTAGAATATAAAGTCTTGGATACCACGGCTCTAGAAAATTTCAAGGTATGATGAATATATGGTTCAGAATATAAAAAAGTAAGATGAAGTCAAGGATCAGGATATAATCATGATTATATACATATATATATATCATCATTGATCAAGAAGAATTGTTGTGGTTTATGATAGGATTAAAAACAGAATCAATATTTTTTTTTTAAGTTTAGAATATGAATACAAGGATCTAATCAGAAAGAAAGATGATTGAGTTTGTAGGTCGTGAATTGTAATTATATCCAGGTTCAGGATATGATCAAGGAAGGAATTCTTCCTTCTGGGTTCAGAATGTTAGCAAGGAAGATATGATATCTGGGTTCAGAATATTATCAAGGAAGGAAGAATATCTGGGTTCAGAATATGAACAAGGATGAAAGGGTATCTGGGTTCAGAATATGATCAAGGAAGGAAGTATATCTGGGTTCAGAATATTATCAAGGAAGAAAGGATATCTGGGTTTAGCATATGATCAAGAAAGGATATCCAGGTTCAGGATATGTTCAAGGAAGGAAGAATATCTGGGATAAGCATATGATCAAGGAAGGAAGGGTATCTGGGTTCAGAATATGATCAAGGAAGATATGATATCTGGGCACAGGATATGATCAAAGAAGGCAGGACATCTGGGTTCAGAATATGATCAAGAAAGGATATCTGGGTTCAGAATATGATCAACGAAGACACGATATCTGGGTACAGGATATGATCAAAGAAGGCAGGATATCTGGGTTCAAAATATGTCAAGAAAGGAAGGATATTTTGGTTCAGAATATGATCAAGAAAGGAAGGATATCTGGGTTCAGAATATGATCAAGGAAGACACGATATCTGGGTACAGGATATGATCAAAGAAGGCAGGATATCTGAATCAGAATATGAACAAGGAAGGAAGGATACCTGGGTTCATAATATGATCAAGGAAGTATATCTGGGTTCAGAATATTATCAAGGAAGAAAGGATATCTGGGTTCAGGATATGATCAAGGAAGAAAGGATATCTGGGTTAGCATATGATCAAGAAAGGATATCCAGGTCCAGGATATGATCAAAGAAGGAAGAATATCCAGGTTCATGATATGATCAAGAAAGGAAGGAAGGATATCTGGGTTCAGAGGATGATCAAGCAGCAAAGAATATCTTGATTCGGGACAAGATCAAGGACGGAAGTATCTTTGTGAATTTTAATTATAAAAATATTATACTAATTACGAACACCCTAAAAATTTTTATAAATATAATTAAATTCCATTTAACATATTATTGAATAGATTTTGGTTGCATGCATCTATAGATATATACATAAAAAGAGCACAAGTGTAGAACAGGATGTACAAAACCTTTCATCACTTCAACATCATAATCGCTCAATTAAAAATGTGTTTTTAAAAATCTATGTATTTTTAAATCTAGCATAATGAAGGAAAAGTGGTAAAATGTTTAAAATTAGTTTCAGTAATCTCCTTTCTTATTGATTGGTTGCGGGTTCTGACCGTGAATATATATAGTTTAAGAAACATCTGTGAGCTGGACAACTAATGGGTTCAATTTGTTCTCTATTCATTGTTCCATAGTTCCACAATATAGATGTCAACCACCCCTACCCCAACAGTTGTCCCAGGGTCCCTACATACAGTTGTCCCAGGTTCCCTACATACAGTTGTCCCAGGATCCCTACATACAGTTGTCCCAGGATCCATACATACAGTTGTCACAAAAAGGAATTGAGTCTTTGTCCAAAAACTCTTATTTTCTAATCCCTATATATTTGCAACCAAATGTTTTATCTTAGATATTTCAAAATATGAATTCTGTTAGATCAAATAAGTTTGAAATATTAAAGGTTTACACCATCAGGTTGCCAAGATAAAGGAAGTAGAAAATTCGAGTTTGTGGCAAATACTCAATCCCTTTTCAATCCTTCTGGATAAAAATGCATAGTAATCCTTATTTTTCAACCTTAACAAGGTATTCAAAACATGTCATGAGTCTGTAAATTAACCCTCTCAGTGCAAAAACCCCCATAGTTCGGGGTCACAAAGTATTTATTTGCTAAAAAACCTTATATAACGTAAATAAACTAAGAAGAAACTTAGATTATGTGGCGGGTATTCACTATTCAGTACTTTTGGTTAAGTTTTGTACGAATTATAAACAATACATGATGTCCATAATAACTTGAAATTATATACTGCAATGAGTAATGATTAATATCATTACCATGATTACTACATTATGCATATTATCCTGGTTTTAACTTTTTTTAATGAGAAGTGAACCCGGTCCAAATTTCTGGAAAACATGTAAAATTGGAGAAATCTGTTAAACCGAGGATTAAAATTTAAAGCTGTTACATGCCAACAATTTGTTTCGTCTCCCATTCTTAACCAAACTTAAACATTCATATTTTTACAAACAAGCAATAATAGTGAATTGGTCAAATATAATATTTCGGGAAATATTTGTTGAATTTGAATATTTACAAAAGAATTTTCTCCATCTCTGATCCTAGCTGAATATTTATAGTAAAATCTCTAGTTCCCAGGCTTTGCTCCCTTTACCACTTTATCTACATAAATATATTGTGGAGCATAACACATTATTAAACATTTTAATGGATTAGAAATTCGGGCCACTTTCAGCACTTAAGTGAAGATTGAAAACCCATTCAAAAAAAATTGTGTTCCATATTCTATAAGAATATAGTCTACTCTCAATATTGTCATTTAGTAAATCTTGAATACTGTGCCGTCATATTAGAGTTAAAATATTAATCATAAATCATTACTAAATACAAAAGTTCCACAAATGAACGGAGTTTTTGCCACATCTTCTATGTTATATTGTGAATACACTTATGTCGAAAACCTTAGATATTTCAAACTATGAATAATATCATATAAAATAATCTAAGTTTAAAATATCACAAGTTTACACATCCATGGTCTCAATGATATAAAGATTAGAAAAGGAAATGAGTTTTGTCACAAAATTAAATTTACTAATCCTTATATATTTGAAACTGATGGTGTAAGGCTTTGATGTTTTAAACGAAGATTATTTGATCTGATAGAATTCATAGTTTGAAATATCAAAGGTCTATGACATTGGGTTACAAAGATATAGGAATGAGAAAATCAGAGTTTGTGACAAAAACTCAATTCCTTTTCTAATAGAATATATCCTAATACAAACTATAACTAAAAGTATAAAGCCAAGAGGACTCAGAATAGAATATATCAAATATTTATATTAATTATTTTTTATTTAGATTTTGGCGGAACAAGTTATAAAGATATCAAATTTAGATAGGAAAACAATTGATTTAGTTCAGATGGAGGGAATTATACTAAAGAATATATAGATAGGAAAACAATTGATTCTAAACAGGTTCTTTTAAATAATGTTGCCTTTTTTAGTATCACTTAAATTATCACTTTATACAATTTAATCTATTCTGGAAAAAAAAATTCTTGCACCTAACAAGTTTTTACTATCACTTATTTATCACTTTATACAATTTAACATATTTTGGAAAAAGAAAAAAATAATTTCCTTACACATAATAATTTTTTTTACACGTTTCTATAAAGTTTGTAGGTTTACAAACATTTACCTCATCTTATAGTATACTAAACTAAAGTTACATAACAATTTAATACAATTTCATAAATGGATTTGTTGTCACAGAAAGGAATCGTAATTTTCTTCAGTTTTCATGTTTATCCTTTCCAAGAGGTTTTGGTCCTTCTAGAAAACTTTTCAGTATTTTTCCTCGTGCTCGCCCACGTGTTGTAAACTGAACATCTTCTTCCACTGGTTTGGTTCCTTTGTTCCTTGGATCTATTAGTCTCCGACTTTCCTTTCTCGGATCTATTAACTTCTGACTTTGGTTATATTGCTCTATTAATTTCCAACTTTCATCTTCCGGAATTTTCTTTCTGCGTTTGGTAGGTTCGCTCTCTAAGTTTTCTTTCTCCAAAGGTTTATTAAGCGCAGTCTTACTCTGTAAATGAATTTAAACTCTTTTAATCTAAGTTTTTCAGTTGGGATTAAACTATGTTTTGCTTTGTTTAATAATATCCCGAATAATTAAAAATGATATACTTGAAAAAAGTGCTTCCAAACAAGGCAGTCTTTCTTTGAGAAAATTAATTTTACAAAAATACTTATCGAGTTAACATATATAGATTTGTTGTGTTATTAGCTCAGAAATTTAGTTTATTAAAGTGATATACAATACACAGCGGAATCATAGCTATTTCTTTTACCTATTAATACGGAAAAATTTAGAAATTTTAATGGACATTTTTGTGGAGATGTATCAGCTAGAACAGTTAAAAAATTAAAATTTCTCTAGCAAATTTATAATTTATATTAAAAACGAAGACAACAATTATTCCGCTGTTAATTGGTTATCACGTAGATCACCATGTGAATTTTTATAGGGACTGTAAGCATAATTTCAAGTGACCCTCGATGCAAAGAGGGGATGCCCGGTTTACTACGGAATTTTCAGCTGATCATACAAACGGATTTTGATACATTTATAGAGACACATATCTCTGTACTCGACGAACACAGAAATGTTTTAAGGGGACCGTTGTAAATTGGACATTCCCCTCTTTGCATAGAGGGTCACTTGAAATTACGCTTACAGGCCCTTTTACTTTTAGTTTTCAGAGTTAGTTAAAATGCCTTGCCTCGGATAATTTATCCTGAATCTCCGTGGGTTGTGAGAACTCCAGGTTTGTGGAGAACGTGCTTCTCTTCTCCGTAGGCTGTGCGAAATAAAGGCTTGCGGAGTACATGTTGATCTCCTCCTTGGGTTGCGAGAACTCCAGGTTTGCGGAGAACATGGTGCTCTCCTTCTTGGGTTGTGAGAACTCTAGGTTTGCGGAGAACATGGTGCTCTCCTCCTTGGGTTCTGAGAACTCCAGGCTTGTGGAGAACATGTTGCCCTTCTCATCTGGTTGTGAGAACTCCAGGTTTGCGGAGAACATGCTGCTCTCCACCTTGGGCTGTGAGAACTCCAGGTTTATCCAACCCAGGTTTGCGAAGAACATGCTGCTCTCCCTCCCTAGTTTCTCCTTTAGACTTTCTAACCTTTCAATCATCGAGGTTTTACTTTCCTAAAATCAAGATTGAATCAAAGTAATATATTTAGTGCTCAGGTTCTGGATCTATTGGAGCCGCAACATTTTAGCTCACTGCAGTGACCAGAGAGCGAGGAAAGGCAGGCGGCCGTGAGCCAAAATTGTTTCCTTTCCATGCCACATATTCTTCCGGCGGGCATGTGCCACAAGTCTTCCATTTCACAACATTTTATATAGGTGTAGTCCATGGCAACCTGCCTTCCCCCGCGCACCCAGATCCGCAAAAATATGTGAATAACGCCGAATCGCGGTGATAAATATTCACCAATACATCCCCCAAAACAATTTTCTCTCTAAAAAAATATATTCTACATATTTTAGGTGTCAACAAATTACAAAATAAAATCGTTTTTGAATATTTTGTTTGTAAAAGTAATTATCGAAACTTAAAAAATATTCACGAGCTGGATCTGTTCCGTAACAAAATGGTTTATGATTTAGACATGAATATTTTTGCTTTAATTTGTCAAACTTTAAATGGGTGTAAATTGTCGAGCACAACCAAATCTAACTTTTATCAATTAATTCTGAAGAAAATCTTTCTTCTCACTTTTCTTATGAGATTTCCTCCAGAGTTAATGAATACAAATTTAAATTCTTCATTTTATTGATGCTGAGAAAAAGAAAAGTTTAAAGGGACTTCCGAGTGCCAAACAATGCAAAGAATGCATTGTCTGATATACAATGGCACCCTTTAAAGCTTCGTCTGATCAAGTATGAATTAGAACTCCATCTTTTGTTTATTTAAGTGTTTATTTATATTTGTGGTTTCACTGCTAAAGTAACTTGCGCATTTCTTGCTTACAAGAAGCTGCAATGGAGAAATCAGAATTAAACAACTTTCCAGTCTAGAAAACAACAGTGTCTTTTTTTTTATTTTTTTATCTGATTAAAATTTCAAGGTTACCGCTGTTAATTGGGCAATTGGCATTGCCATCTTTGCATAGAGGAGGGCCACTTATAATTACACTTACAGTCCCTTTAACCAATAAAACTATATTTAATACCGTGACAAAATCATTTCCCTCGTGCTTTAAATTCAGATAAAACGAGTCCAGCATTTTCTTCAGTTTATTTTCATCAGCCATCTGTACACAATCAGGTATACGAGCAAGGTACTGTTCAGGGAGTTGAAAACAGGCATCAAGAGCTCTTGACACTGGTTTACAGGGTCGCAACCAGGACTTCAATACATCCTTAACATACAATTATTATTTTTAAACATCATTACTAAATACATACTCATCGTTAATAATTTATTAAGACTTAGCTCATTTCCTCGATTAATACATTTTTGCTTTATCAAGACATTGAGGAAAAATTTGTCTAAAACCGTCAAGTTTTCACGGAGTTACTTATAGCTGCTAATGTCTATAGCAGAGTAGAAATATGATTCATTAGACACATTATAGACAGAAAAATATGTTTTCTTTTTTCTCGACATTTTTGATGTTATGTAATATATCTCATGTAATCAAAAGTGGCAACCCCTTACTTGTGAACATGTTTGAAGTAGTACATAAATGTTTTATACCGCATTCAAAGTGCTATCCTTATTTCTCTTCATAATAAACTCAACAAGCCGGTCATTTTTCTCCTCTAACTGTTTGCCAACAATCCATTCTCTATCTTCGGTTTTTCCACCAACTACTTAAAAGAGAAGTATGAATAATTTTTACAATTCCCGAGACGCTATCTGTTCATTCGACCTATAGAAAACTGACCTAAGGATTTTCCGACCTAAAATTGTATTTGATCTCTTAAAAAAGGTCAGGTTAGGTTGGAGTTGGATGGGGGATAGACGTACAATGGGGAGTCAATTTAAATCCGTAAAAAATCCTCGTAAAAACTACTCGATTATTATAGGTCGGAACCCCTTTAGGTCCATTTACTCAAGGTTAGTTTTCATAACATCACCAATACAATCCCACATCCATCATCTGCTCTTAGTATTAACTATTAAGTTTGAGTTCATAGTTTATACATAAACCAAGGATACGATGAAATGACCAGCTAATATAGTAGTTAAACTACGAAGACTTAGTTTATCCACTTGTATAGCCAGAGCTGAAAACTTTAGAATGAAATGTCCTTAATTCCGATCGGTTAATTAATCTGGAGATTACTAACAAGAGGATAACAAGCATTATTCATCTACAGATTAAAAAAAGAGATCAAGCATTAATCTCGATATCCACCATTCTAATGTTTTCAGCTCAGAGCTGGGAACTTTAGAATGGATAACCGTTAATCCCAACTCCTTAATCCGAATATCCATTGTGAAAACTTTTGATTTTAGTCCGTAATCCCATCTTTTTCTCTCTCTTTAGATAACCGTACATTACTTTTCTCCAATGAGAATGCATGAATATAGTTTGTAAATTGTATTGACCAATGACAGCCTTAAAAATGAATTCTATCCCATGAGAGAAATCCGCAATTTCTAACAAATCAAGAATTTGTTGTAGGCCATTTTGCAAATTAATCGGTGAAGACAAATATTTAATAATAAGTTTGAGATTCTTTTTTAACCAATTTTAGCTAATGTGTTAATAAATGAATGTGTGAGAAATTAAGTAAGGGCCCTTTCAGTCAAGAAAACGTACCAATCTGGCGTTCTTAGAATCCAATTTGTCGATCTAAATATGTAATCTCAAGACTAACATAATCTCGAGATTATGTTAGTCTTGAGATTAGCAAAAACAGAGGATTAAGCATTAATCCTGATATCCACCATTCTAAAGTTCCCAGCTCAGTTCAAGTAGAAGCGAAGTTATTCAATCAAGTCTGAGCTGAAAACTTTAGAATTGGATACCCTTAATCCCGATCGCTTAATCTGAATATCCATAGTGGAAACTTATGTTTTTCTTAATCCTCTCTTTTTGTACACTCGGGTTGGTAAAATTCTAGACAATTTAGTGGATAAAGATTAAAATAATCTGAGGATTAACGAAAAGAGGAGATCAAGCATAAATCTCAATATCCACGATTCTAAAGTTTTCAGCTCTGGTCCCTCTGGTTTAAAGTACCCTAATCAACAATAATAACAAATGTCGTCTTCTTGATTAAGCGTTCACAATCTCTAACACTAAGTCCACTAAGCTTAAGAGAATAAAATTACCGTTCAGAGCATAATAAAAAAGTAAGGGAAATATAACACAAATACCATTCGCTACCTCCCCCCCCCAAAAAAATAGTTAGGTCGTTATTATCATAATCATGTTTGCTATTATTATTGTTACCAAAGTCTTAAAAAAATAATCACCTTCATCATCAGCAGGAATGTCAAACTTATCTTCCTTCTTTTCCAGGACATTAGAATTCACGCTGGAAATACCGCAGGCTAAAGTTTATATAATATATAACAAATTGACAAACATAAATAGATAAACTCAAATTTTCTTGCAACCTAATTCTGTAAACCTTGGATATTTCAAAGATTATTTGACCTAACAGAATTCATACTTTCAAATATTTAAGGTCT